CGAGACCCAGTGGTTTAACCTCACGCTGGGCGTGTGTGTGCCCAAGATCCCGAGAGGAGAATGGAGGAGAAGGGATTGCGGCGTGGCCATCCCCCCGGGGGTGATTCCTCGCTTTCTGTCTCTCTGTCTGTCTCTGTCTTTCTGGCAACCGCACGCGCCCTGTAGCAAAAACCTATCCAAAAAGGGGGAGGCAAATGGAACATGCCGTGGGGCGGTGCTCTCACTAGGGCGCGAGGGACGGGAAGCGAGGACGCGGGCGGGGCTCGAGCTGCGCTCCGGCCAGTGCTTCGTGCTTCCACCTGCCGGCGTGCCGACACCGCGCTGGGCTGCGCCTCGTGCCGTGCCAGGGACCAGGACACAAGGTGAGCCAGGCGCGGTCCTCACTGCCCAGGGCTCACCATCCAGAGCACTCAGCAGGTGGCTCGCGAGGGCCCAGGGTCTGCGGCTCGTTCTTTTTTTTAAAGGGCGTATATACTCGCTGGAGAGTCAGAGACAAAGAGACAGAAAGCGAGCAATCACCCCCCCCAGGGGATGGCCACGCCGCAGTCCCTTCTTCTCCATTCTTCTCTTGGGATCTTGGGCACGCACGCACATGCGCCTGGCGTGTCTCAAGCTGCCGGGTCTGGGACTCGAACCGCAGTCGACCATGTGGGAGTCCACCAGCGTAACCATTATGCCACCTGTTGGTCCCTTGCCGTCCTCTTTCAAGGGGCTGGGCCCACGCAGGTTGCATGTGGGTGACTGTTTTGTTTTTGTGTGTAGGTTGAATTGGTTGAATTTTAGTTGTGTCATAGGATGCATGCACGGACCAGCGAGAGGCAGAGGGAAAGTGAGAAAGCCACCTCTGGGGCGTGGCCATGCCCTCATACCTTCTGCAGGCTCCTCTCGGGCTGGGCGCGTGTGGCACGCACACACCCCCAGCGTGACTCCCGACCTGCCAGGACGGGGACTCACACCGTGTGGTTGCCCGTGTGGAAGCCAGCGCCTTGACCTCCACGCCACCTGCTGGCTCCCTCGTTTTACCGCTGCCGCCGCTGATGTGTGGGGAGACGGGACCCTTATTCGATACCTGCGGGCTTTCTCCATGCGTGGCTGGTCTCCAGCTTCGATGAATACATGGAAAGTTGGTTTTTGTTTGTTGTTCTCATTTGTGAGGCGTGAGTGTTTGCTGGAGAGAGAGAGGGAGAGAGAGCACCTCCCAGCGGGGCGTGGTCACATCACAACGCCTCTTCCTCCTCTGTACTCCCACACACCTGGGTATGCTTTTTAAAATTTAAAAAACGTATTGTTATTCTTTTTCCTGCTCACCAAAGAGAGACAAAAAGAGAGACAGGGCGAGCGAGAAAGCGAGCTGCCGGTCTGAGGCTTGCACTGCCGTCAGCCGTGGGAGTGCCACGTCTCAACTTCCACACCACCTGCTCGCCCCTAGTATGTTTTCCAAGCTTCTGGGACCGTGACCGGGACTCAGACCACAGGGTTGGCCGCGTGGGCTCCAGCTCCCTTAACCGCTAGGCTATGGGGCCGGCCCCGCCCGGCTGGGAGGCCTTTCAGGCAGTCGGTTGCACGGGATCGTTCTCTGGCCCCAGCTCAAGTTCTCTCCGGTTACACGCTGAGCTTGTTACCTGCTGGTGAATCATCACGCGCCGTGGTGTTTATTGGACACACCGCGTAGAAGCCTGCCCTCGAGGGAGGGAAACTCAGGGTAGGGCATCTTGGCACCCAGAGGAGCTCTGGGCAGCGCCCCCGAGTCGAGAGGTGGCCGTCGACGTCGGCCCTGGCTGCTGGCCTGAGCGTGTGTTCGAGGGCAGCTTCCTGGGCCGTTCCCCTAGAGGCGTAGACGGGGGACTCTGGGGCCGAGGCCTGGACCCCGAAGTTTGTCCCCCAGGCCCGTCCTAGGTGTTCAGGTGCAGTCAGCACGCAGACGGGCTTCTCTGTTGTGAACGCTGACTTCCGGTTTCCTATTTCCTTATTGCCAGGGGGCATGTGTGCGAGAGAGGGAGAGAGAGAGAACCACCCAGTGGAGTGGGTCGCACAGTCCTCTCCCTCCACCTTACCGTCCCACCAGGGTCCTGGGCACACGCTCGCTGCCCTGGCACGTCCCCAAGCCTCTCCTGGGGCTCGCACCGCATTTGTCACGTGGGACCCAGCCCCTTCTCTGCGGCGTTAACCTCAGCTTTCTCCTTCCGCCCTCTGCTCTCCGCTCTCCGCCTCGTCCGGTTCTGGGCCCCTGTGTTCGGCGTGGTTTCCAAGGCTTCTAGTCCAGGATCTGAACCGCCCTCTGCTCCCCGATCATCAGGCCGCGGTCCTGGCTCCAGCGACACATCCTGACAGTGGCCCACACGGACACGGAGGCCGCCTCGCTCTTTTCAGTGGCCTTCCCTGGAGTCCCACCAGGAGTGGGTGGGAGGGCCGAGCTCTGTCCTCCCGCCCAGGCTGTGCGTAGCAGGCTCTCAGCCAGGGCCTCGCTGCTTATGCTGCCGTCTCACGAGTCTTGAGCAGGGCCCAGGTCGGCACCAATATTTTTATTTATTTTATTTTATTTTTTAAAGAATTATTTATTTTTTAAATATATTCATCCATTTATTATTTTAATTCGACCAAAGAGAGACAGAGAGACGGAGAGAGAGAGAGAGAGAGAGTAAGTGAGAAAGCAAGCCACCAGGTCCAGGACTTGAACCATGTTCGGCCATGTGAGAATGTCCAGCGCCTTCACCACCACGCCACCTGCTGGTCCCAATATTTTTATTTTTTAAGAGAGATTTTTGCTATAGGGTGTATGCACTTGCCAGAGAGACAGCGAGAAATCACCCCCTGGGGGGATGGCCACGCCGCAGTTGCTTCTCCCCTGTCCTCCTCTCAGGATCTTGGGCATGCACACGTGCCCAGCGTGAGTTTTCAACTGCCAGGTCCGGGACTCAAACTACGGTCGACTACGTGGGATCCAGCAACGCAGCTGTTACATCTTCTACTGGTCCTGTCGTTCTTTTCATAGAGCAGAGGAACAGACTGAGCCCAGAGACGGTGTTTGAGGGCTCCAGGGCCCCAGCCGGAACACGAGGCTGAGACGCCGAGCAGGGCTTCTCGGCGTGTTCCGTAGCAGGCTGCGGCTGCCATCGGGGCCGGTCACTCTGTCCTGGGGGCTGGCCTGGGCACTGCGGGGTGGAGGGCTGTTCTGCTGGCCTCCACCTGCTCCATGCCAGGAGCCCGACCCCTGGTCTTGATAATCGTACTGTCTGTAGGCTGTGTTTTTGTTCGTTCGTTTGTTTGTTTGGTTTTTTTTTTTTTGGAGAGGGTGCGTGCGCTCGCCAGACAGACAGAGAGACAGAGAGACAGCTAGAAATCACCCCCCAGGGGGGATGGTCGCGCCGCAATCCCTTCTTCGTTCTCCTCTCGGGATCTTGGGCGCACACGCGCCCAGCATGAGTTTTAAGCTACCAGGTCTGGGATGCGAACCACGGTTGACTACGTGGGAATCCAGCGACATAGCCATTACGCTGACTGCTGGTTCCCCGTTCGTTTGTTTTAAAGAATTATTTTATTTAACCTTATTCATTGTCATTGTTTTATTTTATTGAAGTTGACCAGACAGAGAGAGAAGGAAGTGAGGAAGGAAGCCACCAGGTCCGGGACTCAATCTGTGGTCAGCCATGTGGGAGTCCAGCCGCCCTAGCCACCATGCCACCTGCCAACCTGATTTTTTTTTTTTTAATTGCAAAAGGGAGAATATATTGACCAGAGAGAGAAAGGGAAAGGCAGAGAGGGGGAGTGAGAAACCACCCCCACCCCCTGGGGGATGGCCACCGTGCAGTCCCTCTCCGCCTTCCTCTCAGGATTTTGGGCACACAGCACATGCCCGGTGTGGTTTGAAACTGCCAGGTCCGGGACTCGAACTGTGCAGTCGACCGTGTGGGCTCCAGCCACGGGCTGGCCCACGTACTTTGTCGGAAGCCCGGTGGCCTCTTGCCAGTATTTTCTGCCTGCCTGTCCCCACGGTTTGGACGAGGGCTCGTCCGTTTCAGTGGCTGTGTTCACCCTCGCACTCGCACTGGCTTGCCAGCTCCCGCCAGAGTGGCGCGTCCTGGTCATGCTGTACCTGCTGCCCCCAGCACAGCGCCCGGCCCACAGGAGCTGCTCAGCCACGTGGGCAGAGCAGACACGAGCCGGTCCACATGGCTGTGGCTGTCCTGCCCCTGCCCCTCGGTGGGGCAGAAGTCACTGCCTGGAAGGTCCCAGCCTGGATGCTCAGCCCAGGGGGCTTCCTCCTCAGAACGGCTAAGGAGAAGGCAGGTGTGGCCAGCAGGTGTGTGGCGGTCAGGGCGCCTGGGTCCCACACAACCCACTGTGGTTTGAGTCCCGGACCCGGCATCATGGAAACCACTGGTATGTGCGTGTGCATGCATGGCCCAGATCCCAGGAGGACAGGAGCAGGGGCTGCAGCCTCTGATGAGCACACGCACCCTGCCGCAGAACTAGTATGTGCGTGTGCATGCATGGCCCAGATCCCAGGAGGACAGGAGCAGGGGCTGCAGCCTCTGATGAGCACACGCACCCTGCCGCAGAACTAGAAAGACGGGGAGCACCTCATGGCGCTCGCCACACGTGGGCGCTGTCCTGCGCGGGCCCAGCCCCCAGGGTCAGCGTGCCCTCACCGACAATCGGCTGTGGAAGCCCAGGCCTGGCTTCTCTGGTCTGGCCTCGCCCCCTCCCCAGCTTTCCGGGCCTCGGTTCCCGTTCCCCTTCCTGTCTCT